CTCTTTGTCATCCTTGATGTATTAATTTGGGCTTGGTGTTATTCCCGGTGGGCCCACAGTGCCCTGGGAACGCTATTAGCGAAGGAGGAGCTGTGGAAATGGGACAGCCTGTGCGTTGATGGGACAATCTGTACAGATTCATGTTAGAGCCAATCACATTGTTGTTGCTGGACTCGTCTTGTGTAAGTAACATTTGTGTGGATTTTTTTTCCCATTTTGCGATTGATTTTTAAAGGTTACTAACTACATTTTGTGCTTTCTCTCTGGTACAGAGGAAGGCTTTTCAGGGTGAGTTGTCTAACATTTCAAGGTGTAGTTGAACACAGTTAATTTGAGAGGTTATGTATTTATCTGACCTTCAACACCCCTGAGGTTTAGTTAAAGAGCAGCAGGTTTGCAGACTGCGCGAAGTAAAAAAATGAGACAAAGAGTATTCAGCTTGTTTTCTTAGAGCAGGGAGAGTTAGAGGGGAGTGAGTTTTACACAGAAGTTCTGTCTTCATTATTGTGGCTTGTTTAGATGTTAAATGGTTTGGGAAAAGCAATAGGCGGCAGCTTTAGGCAGCTGCAGCGTTATGTGGTTGACAAAATTCCTCGTGTGTTAATAATTTTATTTGATCACCTGCTTTTGACTGTGACAAATGTGCACAGAAATACACATGGGGTGCAGTGATAGCAAATTCACGCTGTTCTCCAGAGGACGGAGACAGTGTGCACTTGCCGAGCGTAAACACAAACAGCATGCATAATTGTTCACCAACTGACAATGCAGCCATTCATTGTTTCAGGCAAGATACACACACGCGCACACTTGCACGCAACGCACACAGTCTCCACTTTCTGCGATGGCCGATATCTGAGTGGACAGTTTTGGATAGCGCCGTGTGGGAGGGCCCGGCCGGTGGCTGCATGTCTAGAAAGGCCTGTCATGTGATGTAACCGAAGAAACCGAAAGTCAGGGGGTGATGTAATGAGGGTGATACCAACTTATCGTGTCAGTAAACATGCTTCATACTGGTTCCCCCCCCCCCCTTCCCACATCTTTAACACATATACGCCACTTACAAACCTTAAAAGTCTAGTTGTGTGTATGTGTGTGTGTGTGTTCATTAATATGCATGTGTGCTAACGTTCATCCCACAGCCATATCTGAACTGTTTTGTATGCTCTTTGTTGCACAATCCTCTTAGAATGCCTTCTGTATTGTGTACTGCATGGAAGAAAACAGTGCGTGGAAACAGGTGTGTTAGTGAGTATGTGAGCGAGTGTGACCGTGGAAAAGCTGCGAGGGTGCTTTTTGATTCATTGGTTTGTAAATATGTTTTCATAAAGTTTTTGATAATGTATTATATACTTATGTAAAAGAGAAGCTGTACATAAGATTTTAGATAAAGTGTTGACAGGTATATTAATTTATTTGTATAAAGGAGAGCACTGCATTCCCTGATTGTAAAAAAAAATCCAAATGATCCACCAAAGTGGTTTGTGTTGTTTCTTGCTGTGCATCATTTCGCATCCTCTTTTTTCTGTGCAAAATTTCTTTTGTTGTTAACCCTCACAAAACGTGGAGACCCTTCCCCCAAACCACCCGCATCTTTGCAACATTTCCCAACCTCAGTGTCAATGAGATGATTGAGTTTTGTTTATTTGTGCCTTTTTTGTTGTTGTTGTTGTTGTTTTAATTCTTGCGTTTTCATGAAATAGACAGGGATCAGCCATCTACTGTACATGCAATGATGAACTGTGTTAAGACCAAACTGATTCCACTTTTTTGATTTCCTGTACTGGATTACTTTTGAATATCTCTATATATTGATATATAAAATATGATTGAAAACAGCCTGTGCTGTTGTATTTGTTATTTCCTTTTGCAACACGTTTTTACCATTAAGGAGTTTTCGAACAAGGTGAGTTGCAAAATGAGTTGCTTTAGAGCTGCACAGCGTGATGCTTTTCTATCAACAATAGTTCAAATGCATGTGATCCAAAAAGCGACACAACAAGTCTATTCCATAAGCCAGTAGGTCCCTGCTTTGAAGAATATATTAATGCATAAATTCATGTGATGTAGTTTTAATTATGCCAGTTTTAATTGCTTTTGCATTAACTGCCCTACATTTACAAAACATGTTTTTCAGTTGAATCTTTAATGCATTCAGTTAAATAGCTCTGATTGAGCATTTTAGCTTTAGCTAGATTAGCAAGCACTTCAGTTCTCTAGCAATCTCTGGAAGCTGGGAGCAGTCATTTCAATTACAGTGGTGGAAATAATTACTTAATCCCCAGGTGAATTTGTAAGTTTGCGGTCTCTAATTTTTATAATAGTTTCATTTTTAGTGGAGAAAGACACAATGTCAAACAAATATTCCAAAAAATAAATAAAAGAAAATAAAAATAAAAATAAAAACACTAGCAAGAGGAGTCTTAAAGCAAATATGTTTGGAACAACAGTGCTCTGATTACAAAAGCTAACAGACAAGGCAGGTTTAAGAGAAAAAGAAAATCCAGAAAAAACACATTACATAAACAGTATTAATTGGTTTCCATGTCATTGAGTGAAATAAGTATTTGATCCCCTGCAACCTGTGGGAATTCTGTGTCACACAATTTGGCCACCATGTCTGGAGGAATAAAAATACTGAGTATGGTTGAAAGAACACCATGTTCACAGTCAAGCACAGAAGTGGAAAAATTCTGCTTTGGGGCTGTTTTTCTGCTAAGGTTACAGGACGACTTCACAGCATTAAGGGGCCAATGGATGGGGCCATACACTGTGAAAACGAGAACTTCCTTCCCTCAGCCAGAACACTGAAGATAATTTGTGGTTGGGCTTTCTAGCATGACGATGACCCAAAACATATCAACAAGGCAACAAAGAAGTGACTAAAGAAAGAGCTATTAAGGTCATGAGCTACAACCAAAATCACTCCTGAGATGTGTGCAAACCTGTTGACCTGCAACAAACATGTTACCCCCAACAGGTACTTAGTCACGTTTTGCTTGAAGATCAATTACTTATTTCACTCAGTGACATGCAAATCAATTCATAACTTTAAGTATTCTGTCTTTCTCCATTAAAATTAATGAGGTATAACTCTCAGAAACATTAAACACTTTTTTTTTTTTACCTCATTTTGGTTTTCTGATCCCCATTTATTGTTTGTTTCAGTCTCTCGCTACCCTTTTCCAGATGCTGTAAACAGATGGTAGATGTGAGTTTAGCTTAGTATGCAGTACCTGAAGACTCTGATATTTTCTCTGGGATTTAGTCGAGATCAAAAACAGAGCTAGAGGTGTGTATTGATATTAAGCTTTCATCAAGTCCTCAGAAAGACCCTAAATCAGTGCTAATGCTGTTGCTGCACTTCTGCTACTAGTTCTATCCCTTGTATACATCAATATGTGTCATACATGTATTTAAACCCCATTCACATTTTGCACACTTTTGATTTTTTAAATAAAACTGGAATTTTTCTAAAAATCAAATTATACTAAGTTGCAAATGTAAAAATCAGAAGTTTCTCAGCACAAAAGGATTCCAAGCCTTGAATCAGTACTTTTAGGATGTCTCCACAAGTTTTAAAAACCTGGATCTTGACTGTCCAGTCTTCCTGGCAGTTCCAACCAAGCTAAATCCATAATGTAGGAAAGTGTGCAAAACATGGAGGAGTTGCAATCATTTCTGAAACAAATGCAAATGCTAAGTTTAGCCCTACCGCATTATATTTGGCAAACTAGCAGCACAAGCTAACAAGCAGGGAAACCACAAACAGTTTCTGCTAATAAGTGCTTTTCATTACTTTTATGTGAACCGCACGGAGCACAAGTGTTGTCTGTGGAAGCTGCAGAAATATCAGCATTAAGTTGGATAACATTATTAGTTCTTATTAGCTGAAATGCTCTATAGACTGTACCAAATGAAGCCACGCTGACTGAAATGCGTTTTGCATTCAGAGTGATTCATCAGCAGACAGAGAAACTGTAGCAGATAAATCCAGTCCATTATCATTATTAAACTGAAGCCAGCAAATGCCTTCAGACTGCACAGACGCCCCCCTCCACTGTTGTATCACACCCCCTCAGGGTGTTATGAAATAGGTATGTTTTATTAGTCCACTGTTCCCTGCAGACAAAAAGAGGTGTCACAGACATTTTTATCCCTGCACAAAGGCTGAAATGAGCACTGTTACTTGCTGTAACCCGCTTCTTTGAGTGGGGGATGGGGGACGCGCACCTATGCAGTCATGTGACATGCGTATGTGTGTGTGTATCCACAGTTACATGTTATCAGAGTCATCTCTTTGAAACACTTTATTCTGACAGAGCATTTCCATACCGGCCTCCTTTTTTGTTATTTCTACATACGGATACATTTCACTACTAGAAAAGATGCCCGTTCCATCTCAGTCTGCCACATCTTCCTCGCTTTCTGACGATTTATAGTTGCTCGTGGTCATTACAGCAGGACAGCCAGTCAGCTAGAATGGAAGAAATCCACAGGGGAAATGAAGAACCCGTGCCCTGTCACACAGAAATCCAACGCCTTCACCATCTATGCAATCCTTTTTTTTGTCTTATCTCACAAGCATAATCTCAGCTCTGTGCACAAAAAAACAAAACAGTGCCCCTTGCTGTTTCCCAGGGGGCTCGAGGAAACAAAGGCCATTCAAACAAATCTGATTTCACAACTGAATGAGCATTCCTAGGTGACATACAGCTGGAGTGCAGGTGAATCTCACACGTTGTCCTCTCACACAGTGGAATTACTGCAAATCAAAAGGCACCATGTTTGCAACCGTCTGTCACACTTGAAAGAGATTATATCTACTTCCTTGTACGTGAGCATTTTTAGGTTTGTCTCTGCTGTGGCTTTATGTAGGGGGGATTCTTATTATGTTTGAGTTGGCTGGATGTTGGCGGTGATGCTGAAATGGATGAGCTGCGCCACCTCCTGGGCGACTTTGCCACTGCATGTTGCTCGTTTTAAACAATGAAATATCATCGCTTTTCTGTAATTTTATTAAAAACAGGCGTTGCATACATCAGTGTAGTTTTTACCAACGTGTGAAATAAACAAACTGGCCGATCGGCTCCAGGGATTTGTTTCTGTTTAGTTGGCATGCAGTATTTTGAAAGTATTTTATTGAAATGGTGCTTAGAAATGCTGAGAATTCCCCTTGGAAACATATAGGTAGAATCTTCTTACAGACAGATTTTTAGATAATACAACAAACACAATAAATATTCTTTCCATTGCATAGTTTGCAGAGCGAAGCTGCTGCACGGATGTGCAAAGATCAGCGATAATCTTAAACATCTATGGTAAAGACAAAATAAAAACAGCAGATCACTGCATGCTGCCCTAGCAACCATCATCTGCCTCACTTACTCATGCCGCACAGCCTCATTGTAATATCATCCCATTCAGCGCACCAGCTGTCACTAGTCCAGATTTCAGAACGAAAAAGCCTGCGTTTGAAGCGCCACTCAGGTGAGAGGATCTGACATGTGAACAGATCCGCTTCTACAGAGCTCGAGCTTTAGCGTGGGCCTGCAGCAGGGCAGCTGTATCGGCGTGGGAACCTTGCATGGCGATGGAAAGCGCAGTTTGACCTCGCTGGCAAACAGGAAACAAAGAAAAAAAACAACATTTCAGCTCAGAGTGCAACAATAATGTGACTGATTCTGGGTCCCCAGATGGTGAACCCTTGAAGAATTTGGTGATTTCCTGACTTTGTTATCATCTGATTGTTAAGTTAACATTATTTGTGTTACCGCACAAAACTGCTGGCGTTTCTGTAGGCCATATAAATTCATTTTTGCACAGTTTAATCAGTCTAATTAGTGTGGGTTTAGGTGAGACATGGTTTACATTCTTAAGTGTACTTTAAAGGTAGACTGTCACAAGCAGAAGAGAGATTTGCCCCCGTTGCTCTTTCCCTGCCTCCACTTGCTCCGCATGGCACAGATATTGTACTGTTAGCGGATTAGCTCCTCTCAGCCCAGGGAGATTTGTCTTACTGTAGCCTTGATTAATCCTGGGGAAGCTCTATTCTGCTACATCCAGACTGTCAGTCCACTCACATCCACAGTGTGTGTCAACACATTCAAGCTTTCACGCATCTAAGCTGCTTTTCTTTGCATTCAGTGATGTGAATGCTAAGGTAGATGTGCCATTTTGTTAACAAATGGAGGTGAATCATCACATGATGATGATTCCTAAAATTGAATTTTAATGGGTATGATGCCCAGACTATTGTTGCATCACAACATTATGATCCAGTTCACTGTGATCCCTGAAAATGACCACAGAAAAGAGTTTGCCAGCATTGTTTCCCAGGTTACATGATGATTTGTTTGATGTGGTCTTACCTTGTCAGTCAGAGTGAGGTCACACTGGCTTCTCTCCAGCAGGAGCCTTGCGATGTGCGTGTGGCCCCTCTCAGATGCGAACATCAGCGCTGTGGTTCCCTGGCTGTCCTGGATGTTAGCGTCTGCCCCACAGCTAAGCAGCAGGCGAACCATCACAACTCGGCCATGTCTCACTGCCAAGTGCAGAGCTGTTTGGCCCGTCTGTGCGGAGAGGGAGAGAGTGTGAGGCCCAAGCCCTCTCCTCTTTCTTCTTCAGCTTTCATTCTTTATCTTTTAGTAGTCAGTGTCTTACTAACCTCAGTTTTATAGGGACAAGCCAGCAACTCCAAAGATTGGGTAATTCTTAGTAGGATTGTTTTTTTTAACTCTCTTTGGTATACATGCATACCCAGGTCTTTCAAACTGTTCATAACAAAGGCTGAAAGCTGAATGTGCAAACCCTTTACCCCAGTTTAAGATAATCCTGATGACATCATCCACTTTCTCTGAATTTGAAAATCTCCTCCCAGAGCCACAGAAGACATTATACAGCAGTCTCAGTATAAACTCTGTCACTGATCATTTTTTCCTGTGTAAAATCTACCAAGTGATTCATTAATAATGGATGTGGTTAGGTATAGCTTTCCATTCACTGCTTAGAAAACAGTACAAACCAGCACAGGGTGCTATAGGAGGGAGCTGCGCTGCCATCTCACACTGATATCCCACTCCACCCCCCTCATCCCTATTACATTTGTTCTTATTGCTTGTGGTACCTTGCTGGAGCGAATGTTAATGTTGCCCTGCTCCATTAGTTTGCGGACAACTTCCATTCCGCCGGGTCCATCGGGGGCTGTCAGCGAGGCCAGCATCACCGCCGTGTAGCCAGAATTGTTCTGAACGTTCACATCGCTGACACCTGTGGCACAGGGAAGATGTCAGACGTTTTTAGTACTAACAAACGTTATATTACAATAGCTTCGACAACACGGTTACCTATATGTTACCTGTATCCAGGATCAGGGTGACAATGCTGTAGTTGCAGTGGGAGACGCTGTAATGAAGCACTGTGTTCCCGTTGTCGTCCGCCAGATTGACTAGAAAGGCCAGCAGGGAGGGTGTTTCCTTCTTTATGTGTTTCAGGTATGCAGCCACCCTGCTGGCCTCAGAGGCCTCCTCTGCTGCTGCACTGAACCAGTGCTGGAACAACACAACCAGGGCCTTCCTCTGGAAAATATACGAATAAGAACGATTCCTGGTGACGCATGAATTTAATTAACATATATTACATGTTTAGAACATTTAGCAGTCCTGCTTTAAAGAAATATGTGGTACACATGTCCTCTTTCTGAGGACAAGTTTTGCATGCTATTTTTATTGTTTAAAGTTTATCTGATGAAGACATCATATCCAGTAGCGTTAATGCTGCTCTGTGGCTGAGTAGTTGCTTTTCTGCCCACCTGTAGAATATAAAATATAAAATATTCTCTCTTTGAAGCTCCTCCGTGGGGCTGGGAAAAGCCAATATGGAAGTGCTGCAAACTGCAGCTCCTTAAATGGCAGCTCATGACCAATGTTCTCTCTAAGCTGCACGCGTGCAAAATTGCACACTGCTGGCACGGTCTCTGCGCACAGAAAATCTGCGTTGTGTACAAAAAAAATCTAACCTGAATTGAAATTAAAATCAATACTTTAACAATTCTGTTTTGCAGTGTTAGTCAGTAAGTGACTGGCTGCTCCAGTATGGGATTAGAACGATGCCACCTTATCCCAACTTGGCATTTAGTTGTTTAGGAAGGGGGAGGTTTTGGAGTGACGGCGATGTTTTGAGATGTGAGAGATTTGAAATGTTTAGCGCAAATCTTGTGTAGTTAGTGTGTAGTGTAGTCTGTAGTTTTGTTGTGTGTGCCATAACAATGAGGCGACTGCTGAATGTTACAGGTGTTACAGGAGTGATACATCTCCTGTTGTCAGGCCTGCAGGTATCAGGCTGTTGTTCTCTTTTATCTCATAGTGGACAGAAAATATTTTTGGAGTGGCACAAATAATTTGTGTGGCATCAAATTTGATGCAGAACAGCTGATTGTTCTGTAAATAGTTTGAAATGTTTATTTTAAAAAACCGCCTTGGCTGCATTTTTAGGTAAACGGCTGCAAAAAACTTTGTTGTTTGCATAACTCAGTTACTTTTTTTGAAGAAGTAACTATATAATTAATTGCCCAACATTGGTCATTATATACTGTATTTTGCAGACAGAGAGTTACAGAACCCCCCCCAAAACAAAAAACCAAAACCAAGAAAAAAAGCAACGCCTTAAAAAAAAAAAAAAAAAAAAGGAAGAAAAAAAAGAAAAGAAAGTTGTGTTTTCAAAATTGGAGTTCAAGTTATTTTTTACTTCAAATAGTGTTAACATACTGCACAGGTCATGGACAAGATTTTTTTTAAAATTTTCATTGTAAGTGGGCTAAATCAGTTAATTAAAAGTAGTCTAACATAAATGTAAATGCTGTAACTTGGATGGATTTGATGCTGGCGTGACCACAGTGCACACGTCTGATGTTGCTCACAGTGGGACTGCTCAGGGAGTTTGTGTATTCGCTCAGACACGTGAAAAATTAGAGGGAACATTGCTCATGACAAATCCCTTAGATGTCTATGTTAAAATAGCTGACTGTGGATCAGAAAACAAAACATGTTAACAACCTGGTCCGTTTACGAATGCAATGAATTATGGATTAGCCTTGTTGCATGATAACTCCTCAGAGCTACCCTCGTGTAAATCAATCATCAAATCAAATGATTTACATCATTGTAGCAACATTCAACTTTTGAAATGCAACATGTCCCAATAGAAGCAAGTTCACGGGCGCGGTGATTGCAATCCACTTCAAAACAAGGCAATGAAGTAACAAATAGAACCACAAAGAAGGAAAAAAATGGTGTTTCCAGCTCCTTTTTTTTTTTCCCCTATACAACTCTGTTTAGTGTCTGTTCGTTCTGGCGTAAAGGGTTCTGCAGATACCTCAGTTCCCAACCTGGTACTGCAAACTCTGTTCAGCAGGCATTTATACTGCATGTCTCTTTGGGGACAGATTTTTGTCAGCATGATAGGATGACAACCGTCCAAGATGTTTATTTGGCTGGGTTCTGAGAACTCATTTGTGTCTCTGCTGGTGTGATCACACAGTAGTGTCTATGTAGTGCACAGACATATTTTTAATGCAGTAAATGAAAGAAAAATTTCATATCTATTTAAATTTAATCTCTAGTCTTGACTGCTTACCATGTCATCATTGGGGTTGTCCATGTTGTCCATGTGATTATTAAGGAAATGACAGGCAGAAATAAAATCTGCATTCACTGCTTCTCTGGAAGAGGAAAAAAATGTGTATATGTGTGCTCAAGGAAGGTCATAATAGAGCGACAGTTCACTTTAAAACATGAGGAACATATTATATTATGATCAGATGAAATTAGCTTCCTGCTGAGTGCAATTACATCTTCCAAACAGACACCGACTGGGTGTTTGTTGAGGTCCTCTCACCTGCCTTTGGTGGTTGTTTCTGAGCCAGAGTTTCCCTCCATCTGTTCTCCTGAGGGCTGTGTTTTCATCTTGGCCGTTTTCTCTGTAGCCCTAGCTACTAGAGATACATCACCTCCATCTGTCCCCCCAAAACCTGTTCCTTCCAGTTTCATCTGTCTGCCTGGGTCAATTTGCTTCTCTTCTTCCGTTCTTCTCTTCTCTGTGTCTGCATCCAGCTGGGCAGGAGCCACCTCCCTAGGAACTGTGCTACTGTTCCTCTGCTCCAAATCATCATGGACACTTTGGCTCATACAGGCCTGATTTTTACTGGCAGTCTCATTGCTTCTATAGAAAAATGAAAGAATGTTAAATGTTAAATGTTACAACTGCTTCTACACTTTTGGTTTGTTTTTTGATTTCGGTGACAGAGGTTGGTGAACTTATACATAATAAATCTTGTGAATTTGCTTAATTATCTCAAACCAATGACTAGTCTGAATGTCTTATGTATGTTTAGAGGAGTCAGAGGCTGGGAACCCTTATACAGTGCATACAGAAAGTATTCACAGCACTTCACTCGTCCACTGGTCAAAATTCAACACATAATACCCCATAATTGCAAAGTGAAAAAGTGTGCTTAAATTTTTTTTTAACATTTATTAAAAATAAAAACCAAATATATAACATGAACATAAAGATTGTAATTATATAAAGATCTAAGGAAGGTGCAGATACATTTCCGGACCATTAAAGTCCCCAATGAGCACAGTGGCCTTTGAAACCACAGGACTCTTCATAGAGGCCAATGGGGTAGAAAGGTCACCTTTCTGACCAAAAACCTGATTGTCACTCTCACAGAGCACCAGCGTTGCTCTGTGGAGAGAGGAAAACCTTCCAGAAGGACAACCATTTCTGCACCACACCACCAATGAGACCTGTTGGGTAGAGCAACCAGTCTGAAGTCAATCCTCAGTAAAAGTCACATGACAGCCCACCTGGAGTTTCCCAAAAAACATCTGAAGGGCTCTCAGACCACAAGAAACTAAATTCTCTGGTTCAAACATTAAACCTTTTGGCCCGAAAGCCAATTGTCATGTCTGGAGGAAACCAGGCATCGCTTATGACCGGGCTAATACCATCCCTACAGTGAAGCATGGGGGTGGTAGCATCATGCTGTGGGGGTGCCTTTCAGCAGCAGGAACTGGGAGACTTGTCAGGGTTGAGGGAAAGATAAATGCAGCATTGTGCAGAGACATCGTTGATGATAACCTGAGTGCTCTGGACCTTGGACTGGGGCGAAGGTTCATCTTCCAACAGGACAACTACCCTAAGCCCACAGCCAACATAACAAAGGCGTGGCATCAGGACCAGTCTGTGACAGACTTGAACCTAATTGAATATCGTTGGAGAGATCTGAAAATGGATGTGCACAATGTTGCCTTCCAACCTGATGGAGCTTGAAAGGTTGTTCAAAGAAGAATGGGAGAAACTGCCCCAAAATAGGCGTGCCAAGCCTGAAGCATCATACTCAAAAAGACTTCAGCATGTAGTTGCTGCCAAAGTGGTTGGTGCTTCAAGAAATATTGAGCAAAGGCTGTGAATACTTTCCTGCTTGTACAGTCAAGGAGATATTTTACTTGAATTGTAATGCTGAACCAGAAAACAAATTCCTTTATTGCTATTTTATTGTAGATGAATGAAGTAAACATACTTGTGAGGCTTTGAAATATTGTTTATGATCCCTGTGTCATTTTACGATACAGGAGCTGCCTCTTTCCTCCCCTTAACTGACAACAGGGAGTGGTACTTATATTTCAGACTTAAATCATGATGTTTTTCTGTGTCGGGACTGTACAGAACCTCAAATCAAATAACCGACAATCATAACATTTAGGGTTGCTAAAGTCAGGGAGTTATTTACTAACCCTTCTTTAACACCCCCAGAATGTAGGTTTTTCGACGTCTGGGCACATCCTTCTGTCTGCAGGATGGATTTAGAGGCTACACAGAAGACAAACACAAAGGATATGATGAAATGTCAGCATTACATGCTCCTCATTAGATTCAATGGCTTGTTTATGTTTGCATAAACCATTTCATCACTGCTAAAGCTCATTGTAATGCTGTCTGTAAATCCAAGAGCCGCCTACTCATCAGTTAAACAAAAAAAGAAACAAAACACAAACCCCATCAGTTTCCTTCTAATCCATCTGTCTCAGTTTCATGATGCAATGTCTTTTAAAGTAAATGGTGACTCAGTTTGAGCTTCAAAACTGACTATAAGCAAACATTTTGCTTATCAGCTTCCTCTTACTCAATTTGTCATCGTCCTGGGTTTTAAAATTTTTGTTATGGTCTTGGAATTCTTCTTATTTAACCTTCTTTTGGTTCTCAGTTTGATCATTTCTCTTTATTCTTGTTTGACACATTCAGTCTTAGTTCTTTGTTTCAGTTTCTGGTGATTTTCGAGTATTCCGCCTTTGGTTTATTTTGTCTTCCCCTCTTTGTCAAGTTTGCATGTTTAAATCTATCATCTCTGTTCAATTCCTTTCTCGCTTGTGCTTTATATTGAGTTCTTGTCCTTGTCTCGTCCTCCCTGATTACCTTATTACCTTTTGTTTTTTTTACTTAGTCTACCCGTGTCGTTCACTGAATAATAATTTCTCATGCCTCCTGGTAATTTGCTTTCCTTAGCTTTGCTTTCTGTTTTTGTACCGTGCAAACCTTTAGACTAGTCAGCATTAAATGCTGGCCTTATCTCACCTCCATCTCCTGTGTGCTACATTTGGGTCCACAAAAAAACTAACCTCATTCCATGATACATGATGCAAAGGTTCATACAGCTAATGAAATGCTGTTGTTGTTAACAGTTATTAGATGAAAATTATTCTTATTCTTTGCACTACACAAAGCTCCGCCGACTCACTTCCAACATTCAGATTTGGCTAACCCTATTAAACCCAATGGGATTTCTTATACAAAAACAATAACACTGATCCTGGCTCACTTTGACTTCAGTGTTACTATTATTAACTCTGAAATGTGGCTTCTGTTATCTTCAGCTGTATAGCTACCTGCTGAATCTTCTTACCGTCACTGTCTCCACGCTGTTTGTGGCAGGACATGAGGATGTCGACAAGTCCCATCATCTCCTGCTGCAGAGAGTTGACTTTGGGATCTGGGTGCTTTAGATGCTTGCCCTCTTTTCCTGATTCACTCTCTGTGCACAAACACTTCCACTGCTGCTCCAGCAGACTCTTTATCTTCTTTATGTGATGGATCACCTCAGCTGTGTCTGTACCTTCAGAAACCAGTGGACGTCTCTCAGACGATGTTGAACTGACCACAGACTTGTGTTGCTGCCTTGTTTGATCGTTTGCATTAACCGCTCTTTTACTAATAAAGCACGGTGCTTTATCATACTCTGATCTCACTACCGTCTCATCTCCATCCTGATCTACCACCACCCTCTCTGCACGGACCCACACTGCAGGATTCTTAATGAGGTGTTCTATCTTCTCGTCTTTCCTTTTGCTTTCCTTTTGCTGCTCCTTCAGCAGCCCTGACACTCTCTGGAGCTCCAGGCTAGTCTCGTGGAGCTTCTGCTCCAACACAGCTACTTTGGCTTGCAGGGAGGTCACTGTCAGCAGCTCATCCAGATCTGTACTAGTCCTCCACTCATGCGTAGGATTGGAGTCATCTTGGCTGACACGGTAATTTCTAGGAAATATACTGTGACTTTCATGCTGATGTCCTCTCAATACTTTGCTATTGTGAGAGGATGTACCAGGATCTGTGGTGCCGTTCATTGTGATGGGATGGTCACGTGGACTCAGTCCCAGACGAAGTCTTTCTCTTTCCTCCTGGAGGATGCAGATCTGCGCTCTGAGCTCAGGAATGACCCTCACTTCCATCTCAAGGTCCCCCACTCGTTCGAGGGCTTCAGTGAGGCGCCTCAGCAGACCTGAGCAGTCCTGTGGCCGAGGGCTGTCCGAAGAGTGGAACACATCTTCACATGAGATGTTTCTTCCCCCAAGGTGATCCTTTGAACTCCAGACGCTGCTGTGGTCATCTGTGGACTCTGACCCTTGTCTCAGTAAAACCGTAAGTGGCAGACTGGAGGCACGGAGGAGATGGGGTCTGATATGTTCCCCTAGAGGTTGCTCATCAAACTCCTTGATTCTGGCTTCCATCTCTGCCAAAGATTTAAACCCTGTGGGGGAAAGAGGTGGCCTGTGATCATATGCCCAGGAAGTATAGCCATGATGATGATGGGCATCTGACAATCGAGACCTGGGGCCAAGAGCTCCGGTAGATCCCCAGGGGCTCGGGCGGTAGCCACACCCAGAAGCATTGAGGTGCCTTGGTAAAGTGCTTGCACGCACTTCCTTGCTTCTGCGCTGAATGGGAATCCTTTTGATGGTGTTCCCTTTCTCTATGTCGTCTACATATTTCAGAAAATCCAGGTCAAGTCGGAAGCCATAAGGGGTTTCCACTGAATATGGGGGCTTCTCCTTGATTCCGTTCTGTGCTGTTTTACAAGGTGCAATATTCCCTGCAAAAATTACAAACAGTAAGTGAGCATGCATTTCAAATAAATATCAGATTCAGTGAAATTCTGAAGCGAAAAACTTTTTTCTACCATTTTGTGTCGCCATCATTTGTTCTCCTTAGTTCTCCGAAAACTGTGTTGACACATTATCTGATTGGACCTCGGGCATCTGACAAGAAAAAAGAGGACTAAATTAAGCCAACAACAACAACATATGAGAAACCTGTTTCTGCATTTTTACAAGTGGTCGAAGTGATTATTGTGTGGTTATATAATAATGTAATGAGCATATTGCAGATTTCAACATTTTGGCTCTGACATTTACTTGAGGTTTATATGTGGTGCGTTTGGTGGCAGACGCAGTCCAAGTTTTGCGACCAGACGGAATAGCAATCATCCTTGTTTGTGCTCCACACACAATATGCTCATTCATTCACCCACATGTAGTGAGTGGATAACAAAACACAAACATTCAATTACGCCGAAGTACTTTTTCTCTCTCCCCCTCTCTTATTCTCTTCTCTTCCCAAAGTTTTCTATTTTTTCTCACACTCTTGCTGCTTCATTTCTTCCGTCCACCAGGCAGCTATTATTCAACAGTGGCAGGCCTGATCTTCACTTGATTACAGCCCTGCCATCCAGGACGAGAGCTGAAAATAGCTTGAGACTGTTTAGCCCAGCAGCTATGGCCAGCAGTGCAAAATAAACTCCTACAGACATAAATACAGACAGTCATTGTTCTGACTCAATACTTTCCTCCCTTCCTTCTCTCCCTGTGCCTCCTACTAGGTCTACAGTTTTCTTTCAGAGAGTTTGTTTTTCTATCACCAAACTATCTAGAACTTCATCTTTCACCTTGGAAAGTGATGTATTTTTACAGTGCAACGCTCTACTGCCTTTTTAATATACTGGCGTGCCCTTCTCCTCTTTTATATCACTCCTCCCCCCGCCTCCCTCTCTCAGCATCTCCCCCTCTTAAATCTTTACCTCTTCCCGCCTCCCACGTTTCCCCTCCTCTCTCCTGACCACCAGCCTCTGCGGCTGCTTGCTGTCCTCTTCAGGCACGGCGGCCACCAAGCCACAGCCCCAAACAATGTCAGCTATGCAGTAAACAGACAAACACCACCAAATGTCCCTGCTGGGAATTTTCACCTCCATCATTCACGCACTCGTTGGTGGCCGGCAGTAAACGGCAAAGAAATGTGCAAATTGCAGACACGCAGGGATGTGAGCAATTTTGCAGAATAAAGCCTGCACACTGAGACATATACATGAGGCACAGATACTGAGGGCTGTACATTTGGAAATATGGTGCATATATATTTACAGGGCACGACACAGTTCCCGATTAAGAAAAAAAAAACACTGAGAGATTTACTTTTCAGAAATAAATAATTTGATGCTCAGTATTGTGCCATGAATAACTGATAAATCAAAGATGACATAAAACGAATTAAAAAAGCAGTGTTATTTTTTAAAAAAGAAATTACTTGACGAGTATTAACAGTGCAGGGTGCAGAGAGAAATGACAAGCAACATTCAGGGAAGGTCCCCTATCAGTGTACTGAGTGGACTTGTTTGGTACTAAAGTTTCAACTGTTTTGAGCTTCGTTTCTCCGACTTTAATAGCCAAAATCTTTTGCACGAACAGAATAATATAAACTATTCCTTTTTTTCCATCATATTCAGTTCTGTTACCCTTGCATATGTCTAACCACTGTATTAGATACTAAAACTACATTATTTACCGTTATTTTCTTGTGGCTTCCATGATGTTGAGAGGACTCTTTTAGGCAGACGTCTGACAAGTCTAAGTTTAGCTCGTACATGTGGGCGTAAAGCTAAAGCACATGTCAGGCAGTGAGACCCAGATATGTCTTCATTTTAAAGGCTAATTGAAGACCATTCAGGTGCTCCAGATATACAGAAAAATCAAGAGGTACACAAGAAATATTTCCATAAAGCTAGTGTAGCATGAATAATAGAAAAAGAGCGTGCTGATTGCAAGCAGAGACTTCACTATTGTCTCTGTCAATCAGCGCTGAAGCACAGAGCACCTGTTACTGCTGATATCCCGATCTCTCTGTTGACTCAGTTCAAAATATAAGCTGCTGGCTCGACTTCAACCCAATGACAACAAGAAACTCTTTTACAAGTAAAGAAGTTTTAGGTTCTCAATAAGAAATGTCTGGCTTACTTTAAGAAAAATATAAGCGTTTAGTACCTGCACAGAAAGAATTTGGTGGGGCTAAAATGCACTTTTTGATTTCTTATGAGCAGGCAGACATAGAAGCGCTGTATTTAACTTAAAGCAAGAGCTGGATCAAGTGACCCTGAACGCCCCCATAGTTACGCTGCAGTAGGCCTAGACTGCTGGGGGTTTCCCATGATGCACTTTTTTTAAGCTTCAGTTACCCCTTTGCACGCACTATGTGTTTATAGACCACTCTGCATTTAATCATTACTTATTATTATTCTTGGACTCTCTTCCCAACTTGTCATGGTAGATGGTTCTGCTAGAGGTTTCTTCCTGGTAAAAGGCAGTTTTTCTTTCCCACTGTCGCCAAGTGCTTGGTCATGGGGGGTTGTCTGATTGTTGGGGTTTTCTTTCTATTATTGTAGGGTCTTTACCTGACAATATAAAACACCAAGAGGCAGCTGTTGTTGTAATTTGAAATATTGGAGAAAAAAATGAAAAAAATGGAGAGACTTAAAATAGGTTATTACAGTGCTTGGAAGCAGCTAAATATGGTATACGTTCAATAAACAAGGTATACAGGCCCAAGAAAGAATGATTTATGCAGGATTCTGTGCAGTACCTCCCCAATGATGTGAGAGATTTTAGAGTCACACAGAACGTCATAACTGGAAGTTACTGGCGCTAAAGGTGATTCTACAAGGCTGCAGCAAGGATACTAAAGTTTTCACAGGACTCTATACTATCCCGTCCTGTGAAAACATTCCTTTTCATAACTGTACAGTTAAAACCTTTTTAACCTGGAGCCACGCTAGCTTTCCCCCCCCCACCTACCAGTCAAGGCTAGCTGTAGTTGAACATTAAAATGGCATTTGTAACTGTAAAGTACGGAGCCCCGCAAGGGACATGGGAGAAAAAAAAAATTAAGACGGACTTTTGCGAGATCTCGCAAAACAAACTCGGGATCTCGCGAAAGTTTTGCGAGATCTCGCAATAGTTTTAGCCGCATTCTTCGGAGGCCACCAGCTTGAAGCTGACCGGGAGGTCGAGGCAGGATGTACCGGGAAAGCGGTGTTCCTCCCGGCTGTAGTAGGTCTTGACCTCCCGTTAGCTTCGAGATGGTGGGTGCCAGATCTCCGAAAACGTCGGAGCACTTTTGCAAATATGTGATGTCTTGTAAACCGAGCAGATATCTGACGTTTACACAACTACATTCACGCCTCAAAATATCCTAAAAACTTTTGTGAGATCCCGAGTTATTTTTGCGAGATCTTGCAAAAGTTCATCGTAATTTTTTTTTCTCCCATGTCCCTTGCGGGGCTCCGTAGTAAAGTAGTTATCTCCAAAAATGTCAAACTTTTAAAAACATATTATTAAGCAATAGGAATGCCAGTTTTAGATGCTTTATTTTCAGTTTTCGAGCAAACAAAGGAGCTTCACACTGCTTGTTGTTGCCCGCAAGCCGTCCATTTTTACACATAAATATAGACCCGAACATTTCCTCCTCACCAGGTTACCACAGAGGAAACAATATAGCAAAGTTAGGGTTAGGCATTTCCCAGGAGCCACTGCCCAACTCTCTCCACATTTCTGTGGCATAGGTTTTAATTGTCTGGGCCTGGAGGAGTAGGCCCACCTCACAGGAAACCCACGAAATGAAATGTAAAATATTTGCTTTACCCCAAACAGGCCCCAGCCGAACAGCAGTGCACAGCAGTCCTGCTACCTCCGCACATAATGAATTCAGTCCAAAGTCAAGCATTGCAATGGGCTCAAATTTTCTTAAAAATAAAGTAAAAAATCAAGGCCTCCTTTATGTTCAGCTCTTGTTGTTTTTCGGCTGGAGGAACGCCACATTCTTCTCGCACAGCTATTTTTCCTTTACTTCAGTTTCTTTTTATCCTTGTGTGCCCACAACAGCTGCTCCCCTCCTCTGGGTGAGTGCGTCCTCTCTCATACAGACCTTAAGGCTCTCCCTGCATCAGCATAAACCTCATAATCACAACATGTCTGTCCACAGCATTCTTTACCAAAACCACACGTTCAGTGTTCACTCATGATGTCAAATGGCTGCAGCCTCCCTATGTAGCTGCAGTAAACTGGACTAAAAGCTAATTTATTGTTGAAAGTAACAGGTCAAGATTTGCGGTTGTCATAGATGATAGCAAAACATTTCACCAGGCTCATCTTTAGCCATGTTAATCATGTGACTCTCTCAGGATGGTTACTGTTTCTCTTCAGAAATATTGAGGCAACGTTTTGGTGGATTGCTATATCCCCAGAGGAAGTGTCCTGTGTTTTTTGTAATATAGTGCAATATGATCAAGGTGATAACAACTGTTAGCTTGCTAGCATCCCAAAATTAGCATCTGGTCCAGACAATGCTCCGCCTACAAGCTGCTGAGCTGCTGCAATGGAGTCCATCTATTACTTGTGGAATCAGTCCATGCATTTATGTTTTCTTGGGTTTCTGAATATTACAGGAGTGGGGACCTCGTAGTCACATTGCCACCGACAACACTGTATTGCACACATTTTGACACAATTGTATGAATATTTGTGAAGATTTAGGTGTTTCCTTACCTGTTAATAGTGAGATTAAATAACTTCAAACCATAGCTTTCTCCGTGCACTGAACCTATAACCTGTGTCTCTTTGCTTCTTTACTGTCTGTATATATGTGTCCACATGTTTTACTGTCTATGCTGTGTTCCTGGAAAAAGTCCTTCCTCTCCTCTTGTTTTTTGGCTGTATAGCCTGTGGTTTTTCCAACTCATAACTCTAACCCTCATCTTCTCTTTGGAGCTGATTTAGGAAGCAAAGCCAAGTGTTTGGGCTCAACCCCCTGAATCCCCCTCCCCATCCTATGTCTCCCCATTGCTCTGTTTTCCCTGTTTCTTTAAAACATTTTTCACTGCCTCCTCAAAGTGTTCCTAGAAATTATTCAGGTTCTGTGATATCCCCTCCCATATGTTTTGTTTTGGTGCTTTTGAACCGCTGGACTTGCCCTGTTCCCATTCCAACACCACCAGGGTCAGGGTTGCAATGAGTTGCAATGTGGCATTCAAAGCCTTACTGGATGGTATGTGGAGCCAAAGCTCATTGGATAAAACAGTTGCCTGGAGCCTCACACAAGGAAAAAACAATGATATGCTAACATGGGAGGTTAAAATAGAAACATGGGCAATGCAGGCAATGAGTTTGTGTCTTCATTGCATAAGTAAAAGTGTAATAAAATAAAAGTGACATTTAATCTTTTGAATGCAAAGATGTTGTCCCGAAGAGCTGTTTAGTATTCTTACTTGACCCAGAAGTCCACTCCACACCATTTGTTAAATCCATTTAGAGTCAAAAGCTTTTCTGACCCTGAATTTAAATCAGCCGGTCCCTGATCGAAGACATTCAAGGTCATCTTTCTGCATCTTGGCTTTGATTAACTGTCTGATCCAACAGTCCTCAAATGCCTGCAGATATGGCATGAATATTATATCTGAGCTTACCTTGTGGCATGTTGAGCAGTTTCCCCCACTCTGTACCGCTGAACTGTGGGAGTGATTGCCAGATAGTCCTCTACCGTCTGCTCTCAGCTAGTTCAGCCTGTCTGTCTCCTGAGAAGGCAGGGAGGTGCTGTCAGGGAGAGTGGCATGCCGCGGCTATTTGGTAAATGCCAACGTGCAGCCCTTGCCATAACAGAAGCTGGGTTTACTTGTGTGTAAAAGGGAGCAATGAGCAAGGAGGAGCTTGTGAACATGCCTCCTGTCCAACTAAACTGACAAGTGGGAGGCTAGACATAGACGATCACACCCACTCCTCCAGACAGCAGCCAATAGAAGTTCAGAGGTGCAGCCGACTGGGAAAGACAGCTGCTCCTTTGGAACCCCGGTGACAACACGTCAAAGTATGGAGCTTCTGGTAAGAAATGAGAGAAAGTACTAGTCACCTTACTGTGTTACCATGTAGAGTCTCATAGACCTCCCTCTTTGAGAATGTGAAATTCTACCCAGTGTTATGTGATCTGTGGCCTCTATAATCTGGTAAACACTGGGCGAAGCACAGGGCTTGGTGGCATTCACGGGGGTTAAGTCTCTCAACGCATACCTCTCGTTCTGTAGGGATCCTCTTTCAGCCTGTTACTAGCATCTTCCCATGAGAATCACCATCACGCTGGGAAAATGGTAAACAGGCAGGTATTTGTACAACACTTTCTACACAGAGTGGCCCAGCAGAGCCCTTTTTCATCCCTTTATTTTAGTTAAGAGAGAAATACCAACATCTCAGTGACTGCTTAACTTTCATGGTCATCAGAGAATAAAAACTAGGACCACAGATGCTCCAAGAATTAATTCTTTCTGAGAAATATCGCAACATTTTCTAAATTCATATGGTATCCATAACCTCTATAACTATTTTATACCTATCCACTTGTAGTTCTGAGAAGATGCATTCTAAAGTGTTAACAGGGTTACAATTAGAGATGGCACGATACCACTTTTTTATGTCC